GCTTGGGTCAGTCTATATATATATATATTGTATACATATATGATGATTTGTCTGAGTACTCAAATATTCAGTTTTTCATGATGTTCAGTGTAACAATGTCATTTAAAAGCTAGCTTGTAAAAAATATATTCAAATGTTTTTATTTATATATTTAATTTTTGTGATAAAACTCATTTGAAAATTATTCTTGAATATGATGAAGGTATGTTCAATAGTTGCTGATGCTGGTGTATTTTCTTTACATAATACTAACAGAATATTCGGGCCAAGAGCCACATAGAAACTATCTTCATTGTAATAGCAAAAACAAAATGAAAATCTTTATTATTTTATTATAAAAGCAATTAAATGCATATACTGTATGTGACAGATTGGATTTGCTAAAGAAACGATGATAGAGGTGTCGGTAAGAGCAGCCAATCAATGCAGTAGAATTAAGAAATAATGTATAGTATACATAATATATAATACAACCATCATCCCATCATCAAGAATACACATGTTATCATCATTATTTTGAGGATGACATTCTCAATTTTTCTGTAGTTTACTCAAATTGGCTAGAGTATTTTCATCTCAGTTTTTCAAGGACATGTTTTGTGGATTTCTTAAATGTAGAAATATGTAAAATATAAACTGAACAAAACTACATAGTTTGTGTTTGTGTTTTTGTTTTGTCATGTGCTTCATGTATGTAAATTGATACTGATTTGAAATATATATTGGAAACAAATAGAACATATAATAAATCAAGATAGCTGTTAACACTGTTAGATTATACTGTACACTGTATAAATAAGTAATCAAAGAAAGGTAAATACAGTGTTCGAATAAAGGATGATGATAGTACATCGTTTAGCATTTAGCAGGTTCCCTATAAATAAATACTTTGTGTAATAAAGTTACTTTGACGGGATTTGAAACTGTGACCTCTCGCTGTCAAGGCTAGCGTCATAACCATAAGACCACAGAATGGTTTGAACAGATTGAAAACTATAGATTGTGTTTTTTTATTTGTTAAATTTTGTCATTTGTTTCGTGTATGTAAATTGATGCTGATTGAAAGTGAGTATACTGGATTGCATGGTTAGGCACACTTTCATACTGACGAATTTCAGAGCCCATTATGCATGTATTATTGGCTGCCAAACGCAACTTTTAAATTGATCGATTGCTACAAGCATGGACAAGTAGGCCTATTCCATACTATACAATCTGTAAGAACAATTTCCTAGCGAATTTCATGAATATAAATCCTTGAAGATGTAATCATTTTGTCATTGTTTTCAATATCATCTGTTTCAAGGTGTAACACATCCTCATACAGTTAACTGAATAATATTAACTTAGTCATTTCAATGATCAAAACGTCCACTGAGGCACGAAACGAAATATTTCTATTAGGCCTACGACTTGTAGAATCATTCTTTCTGTACATAAAATACGTGGGTGCTAAAAGTGTGCGTTCGTGGAAATTGTCGTTCTTATTGAAAGCTTATAGGAGTATCGTTAGTGACAAACTGTTATGTTCAATCGCATTGCCATACTTACACTAGCTGTAACTCGTCCTAATGAAGAAAGACAGGACAGCCTTTCTTTCTGAACTTTCAGTCACTGAAAAACCTTAAACAATTTATTTGAATATTAAATGTTTTGAACTTGCAGTAAAAATACAATACATTTATATCTATTATTGTATGTTAATGATAGGGAAAGAAATTAATACAATAAATGGAGAAAAATACCGACATGACCTATGTTATAGTGTAACATTATAACACACTATACTGCATATGACGTTATGGAATGTATTCTAAAAATGATTGATTTTTTTTAAATTTTTTGATTGATGATACATTTTCTGTCGTGCCAAATCACTGGTAAACACCACCACGAACACTTTCACAACAGGAACCCGAGTGGTACGAACACAACTTCTCACAGATTACCTATAATGCGTCCAACACAATGACCGATCAGCATGAAAACGTGCTAATTTCCCTTAAAAAAAAGTCGTATTCTGTAGCGGAACGTACTCGAGGCATTTATATAAAGTCCTCTCTATCGATCAGCGAGATTGTACCTTAGCTCGGCCAAGGAAGAAATAGCCTGCTATTATAGTATATTAATGCTTATAAACACACATGTTGTTGAGAAGCGTCAGAAATCAAATTGATCAATTATTGTAAAAGGATTCATTATTATTATCCGGCTTTAATTACACAAAGATTACCTTTATAGGCTTCTATATATATAACAATATATACAAAAAATTTCTTTATTTTAGTTGTATAAAAATATGTCTCTGGCGGGAATTAAAGTATTTTTTCGTTGATGAGCTATGCTTGACACGATTATTACAACTTGTTCCTATTTCAGAGCAACGAAGTAAAAAAATATAGTTCTATAACTCGGAACTACGCCTAATGACAAAATATTTAAATCTCATCTACAGTTAAGCCTACTCAGCTTATAAATTCAGCAAATGTTCATTTCAATTTCTGAAATTGCTGCCATTTATCTTTCAACATTTTACCAAAAATATTTGATCGGAATTTTGAATGTTAAACTACATTTGACAACTGACATCATTCAATGAGAAGCAAAATTGTATCGACCTTCTAATGATTGATTCATGATGAGATTCATTTTGGCGCCAAGCATCAATGTTCTTCTGTTGGTTGGATGCGCGCGCAGTCTACTCGATTTTTTTTTTATCTCTCACGATATTGATGTTCATTTACGAGGCAGTTACTGAACAGAGTACGTCGTCAAAATATTAGCATCATATCTCTTCTATTATGATCAGTGGAATATTTCGGTTTCAGAATATAGATAGCAGACGGCCATTTCTTGGAATTGTCTGCAATTTATCAAGATATCAAACAGTCTGCTGTGAAACTAGCATACCATATAAAGTCAGCACGTAAAAAAAAATTAATATCAATCATGTTTATTTGCTGTTACCGGCTGTGACAATCTACTTGATTAAAAAATAAAAAAAAACATATTTCTGAATACCTATTCATGTAGAAAATATTCAAGCGAGTCAGGAATTACATTCTACGTTATTTTAATGTTTGAATGTTGGATGGATTTCTAAACTCAAGTCGCAGGCGAATATTGATGCGGAATTAAACCACGATGAGGCGACGGACTTCAAGAAAATCCGCGAAAAGTAAATCTAAGTTTGGCAGGGCCGGGGAGATATTGCGCAATCTGTTTGTAGTATCACAACTTTGTCAGATATTCCTTAGCTTGGCCATTGGAGTGCTACAATTTCAAGGTAAGTGTAGGCCTACCATCATTTATATTTAAATCCTCAATAACAACGAATAGACCATACAAAATAATTAGTTTAGATACATTATTAAATATGGTACAAACCAAGGTAGGCCATACTGACGCCCCTACCAAATGAGGACGTGGTTACAGTCTCAGTGGTGGATTCAGAAATTTGCCGATAGGAGAAGTCCAACAAAGTGTCTGATCCACATGTGACTCTGATCAGGGTGCCAGAGTAAAACCCCTGGTAGGATAAAAAGAAGAGATTCCATGGTTTGGGATACTAACATTTGTGCTTTTAGACCATAATAACCGGAACTGCAACAAAAATAACTTTGATTGGTTTAAATAGTTAGTCACGACCGTGGGGTCCAACGACTGTGAGCCAATGGTTTTCCGACTGGGGGCGGAGCAGTTTTCTCCTTTGGCGCTGTCCAGCTTTTAGACCACACTATTATGAACTGCAATAAATATAATTTTTAATGGATGGGCTTAGATAGTCAAAGTGAGGTCAAACGATATGTGGGTCTATGTTTGTCCATGGGAAGGCCTGTTTCCATTCTCACCCTCTATTGTCGCTTCTAGTCAGTGGCGCATCTAGGGGAGGGCGTGGTGGGCGCACGCCCTCCCAAAAATTACTCGCCCCCCCCCCCCCCATTCGCCTCTCCCCCAAAAATCACTGTCAAGTAGTAAAAGATCACCAAAAATCCCATACGCCACTGTTTCTAGTCTTCGTCTCTGATCCCTAGTCTGTGTACCATTCAAACTATTCAAATGTCGTAAACGAAACAAAGCTACATATAGAACAAGAACAAGAAAACCAAAAAGGAGGGTCATGGCTTTGGGCTATACTTTTTCTGCCTCTCTTGTCAGAACTTTTCATGTCATTTATTATGCCTCAAAGATAAAAGCCTACAACATCGCAAAACATGTACAATGAAAGAACAAACAGGCAGAGACAGGATTCCTAAAAAGTGAACCAAATTACTATCTGGTAGGTCTCTCATTGCCGTGTTTGGAAATAATACGTTAGAATAAGCACACGATAATATAATAATAATAATAATAATAATAATAATAATAATAATAATAATAATAATAATAATAATAATAATAATAATAATAATAATAATAATATTATTATTATTATTATTACTATTACTATTATTATTATTATTATTATTATTATTACTACTACTACTACTAATACTAATACTACTACTACTACACTACTACTACTAATTTAAAATGGTTAAAATATAATTTGTGTGTATAATATAATAAGTGTATGAAAAAAAATTGTGCCTATAACTGTTTTGTGCCTAAATGTTTTGTGCCTAAAACTGCTTTAGGCACGGCTTTCAAAGTGGATTTTTTAGTTTAGGAAGCTCCATATTAAAGCTACTTATATATATATATTCGTTTTGAATATGCTTATGATAAATTATCATTGTTTATAAACCAGTATGGATACAATCAATTAAATACTAGCATAATTATAATACTTTGCATAGTTAGGCATGTCCCTCAATCTTTTTTCAAATATAAATAAAATGATAACTTCTTAAAATGTATTGTCCTGTTTGGACGTGCACACAATGTTTGGGCCTATCCAAATTATATTGAATCATTTTATTTTAACTTATTTAAAACATCAACAATACAGGGAGTACAGTATTTCAAAAAAATCACATGACAAAATATCGAGAAGAGAAAAAAATCGAAAGGAAACTTATAGAGAATGTATAATGTGTGTGAAAATAAGGGAATGTCTATAACAATGCAAAATGTATATGTTTAATGACACTCTCAAGGTATGTTCAAACTATGTGGTACTAATGGGTCTGCACATACTTCGTAAAATTAGGTTAAATACACATACAAGGTTTTAATAATTCGTTTTTAACTGAATATGCAGGGATATTATAAATTTGTTTTCCCGGTTGACGAATTATTCTACACATTTCACAAGAACGTTTATCATAAATCAAACGTAGAACACACATGACTTACAACGCGTTGCCGTCTCTTAGTTCTGTATTAACAAGAATACTGAAGATTTAAATTCACTTTATTAATTACAATTAACTAAATAGACATAATGATGAAACAAATTAAATTTATCGACGGATATGAATCCACAACTGGAGCTTATGAATGAACTTAACAAGTATCGATTCCATTATAAAGTGTTTCGTTACTTTCCTCCACTTACTGATAGCTTTTTCTGCATCTCTGATCAAGCTAAAATAATTAACAGGAGGCAATTAGAGAAAGCACACGTCGCTTTTAGTCGTTATCCAGTCATTTTGAACAGCGTAACTTTAAGCGTCTTAAAAATTAAACACCTACAGATAATATATACGGTGAATGGCAAAAGTTTGCGCATTGACTTTGCGCGCTCGCTATCCGTCATAGCTACTGTGCACGCGACAATGACATGTACTGGTACGTAGTTGCGATGACGGAGCCAGTCACTCTAATCAGTCTTTCGGATCATATTCGGTTATAAATTACGTGGCCATGATAATTACCAATCTGTTTCTATCTCATTTATTTCGATATCGCTGGTATTTTAATGAAGGGGATCTTTTTCCTGGACGCATTCTGAACTGCACTACGTGAACTCGAATACGCCTAATTTGATCAGACAGGTATGACAGTATTTAACAATCTTACTCCTCGATTTGATCAATAGTAATAACAGATCGTGTAGTTGACATAATATAAGATTGATTAAACTAATGACAACATAATTGAATGTAAACGTATAATATATATTGTTATATAATTTATTAATCTATTATATAGAACGTCTGACCAATCAAATGTTGACAAAGTGTGATAAAATGAGAGTACCCTATAGTCAGTGTATGTGACAAAACCAAATGCAGAATCGCAGAAAATTAGCTATATGCTAGAACATTTTAATTTACAGCAGTGTATGCTCAAAATTATAATATTTACGTAGTGTTGTACAACTCTCCAACTGTTGGGTTTTTCTAAGTGAGAAGTAAAAAAAGCTGAGAGGGGGCGGGGTTTACAATCTTAATAATGGTCACCCGTGAATTAGAGAAAAACGAATACGATATTTTTTAAGTGGTCACCTGTAAACTTAGGCCCTAATTGTCATCGATTTTAATTTATAATCTTATTAGGACACAGTACAAAGTAAATTCCCGTTCTTAGAACCGTCGAATGTATTTGACAAGGCCAATTGGCAACGTTGTTGCAAGCCTTGCGAATGAACATGAACAAAACATTACTGACAGGGTGTATCGACCTACTGGCAACACAGTTCATTGGACTGATTAATACAACTTGTGAAATTGTCTCCCTTTGGGAAATGACAAAATTTCGAGGATAATTATGTTATTCACTGAATGCACGAATTCAATCAGACTGGCGAAATCTGATTTCACCCTCTTTGTATGTGCGTTAGAAAGCGCTAGTCCTAAACGCACTTAGTACTAAACATTATTGTAAAGACAGCATTGTTGTAACGACAAGACAGGATCTCTGCAGAGATTGTAATGAGAAAAAATGAGAGTCAAAATGTCACCTCAACAGAAACTTGAATCCGGACCTTCTGCTTTATAATTGGCTAACTAGGTTACGGTGCTTTATACACACAATAGCCCCTATTTATATATGGTTTCACTGTTCCCTGATTATATAAAGTATACATATAATATAGCCTATAATATAAATATATATACAGATGTATATTTATATGATATGATATGCATAAAACAGATGATGTATTCATGCAATCTCTGTCGCATGTGCATCAGTCGGTGATTAACATTTTAGACCTAATTATCGTCAACAATATTGTAATTTTTTCAATGGGAAGCAATTTCACAAGTTGTATTAATTACCTACATCCCGACGACCTAGTAGCCTACGATGCCCGTAGGTCGATTCACTCGATATTATTAAGTGATCTGGCTGTGTTTATTCGCAACACAGTGGTAATTACGTTTACAAATACATTCGTCAATTATAAGAATGGGAATTTACACTCCGGTATTGTAATATAATTATGACATTAATATAATCGATGACAATTAACAATTATTTAATTGTTTGTGTTCCTTACTGCAGGTGACATTATTAGGATGGTCAAACAGTGTTGATACCGGGTTAATCTTCTGCATTTTACCTTTCCCCTCCCCATCACTTTATACACTTCTCCCCTTAAAGAGTCAATTGAAAGTCCTCAAAATACTTAAACTGGCATTCCTCATTTACAGCTGACGTCATAGCCTAATTTCAAACGCACATTTATGCCTAAGTAAAAATATAAAAAGAGTATTCAATCTCAGGTTGGCTGCCATATATGCGCGTAGAGCCTACGCAAGGTTTATTGCGTCGTATTTTGTACAATTGTCGTCTTTTGTAATACCTGTCGTATTTTCTAATAAACCTTGTCGTATTTTGTAATACCTGTCGTATTTTGTAATAACAGAGCTGTCGTATTTCGTAATAACGTTCTATCGTATTTTGTAATAAACTGAGCTGTCGTATTTTTTAATAACACATTAAATGCCTATCTTCTTCTATACTTTTTGCAGTTTCTGGGGGATTATATAAAAACTTGTGTTAATGATTGTTTGGTGTTATGATACTAAGAAGTTAAAGGTCGCATGGTCGGATAACGACAGCTTGTGATTGTGAACTGTCAGGAGTTATATGGTCAATTAATTTAACTAATAACCATTATTTTTGTATTATTTTTAAGTTTATAAAAAATGATGTAATAAAGATGACTCCTGCTTGGGATCATTAAAAATTATTTTCAAGTCAGAGGTCATTAAAAATACGACAAAAAAAATACGACAAGGTTTGTTACAAAATACGACAGGTATTACAAAATACGACAAGGCTTATTACAAAATACGACAGGTAATACAAAATACGACGTACCGGTAACAAACGTTATACGCGCCAATCAACGTCAGACCACCCTACCTCTGACGTGTGGCCTAACAGTACAGT